CTAAAGGGAAATGGAAGAACAATGGGTTTGAGAAAGATGAGAGGTAGGGGAAACTGGGAGGAGTGGAGGGAGAGGAGGCTATGATCAGAGTGTGTTGTATAAGAGAAGAATGAATTTTAAAAAAAGAAAATTAAAAAAAATTACTAATGCAGAAGTGTATGCAACAGACACTGCTCCTTTTGAATCTGCTTTACTTTTTGGCCCGGGACATGGGTTTCAAAGGGATATCAGCTTCATTAAAATAGAAAATATTTGTAAAAAAATAATAATTTTTCTTCTAAAGTGACCATGTAAGTTATTTTCTAAAATACCATTAGAAGAAAACATGACAATCTTAAAATATATAGATTTTTCCTAGCTTTCATTTTTTATTGTTTTTTATAATTTTTTTTCTTGAGAATTTTATGCATTCATATAAAGCGCTTTTATAAAATCCATCCCCTAGTTCCTTCCCTCCAAACTTTTCTCTACTCACTGCGTTGCTTTTCCCCCCAATTCATCCACTCTTTGAATCCTCTGAGTCCATCTCTTATTTTCTGTATGTGCGTGGGTCTAGAACAATCTATGGGGTATAGGTAACCTCTCAGGAGATGCATTCCTGAAGAAAATTTCCTTCTTGCCTCTTTTTTTTCTTCTTCTGGGTTTCTCTGTGTAGCTTTGTGCCTTTCCTGGAACTCGCTTTGGAGACCAGGCTGGCCTCGAACTCACAGAGATCCACCTGGCTCTGCCTCCCAAGTGCTGGATTAAAGGCGTGTGCCACCACTGCCCGGCGAAAATTTCCTCCTTAAAAATTCCCACCATATATTTTAATGTCAAGTGATAAATTGGAATATAAATTTTAACCAATATTATAATCACCATAGTATCTATATCCTCAATCTTGATGTTGTAAAAAATATTAACAAGAAAAATATAAATTACTGAAATTAAATGATATAGTTTTGCCAATAATACATTCACAAAACTTTAATGTAAAATAAAATGTAAAATGATTAATATTTTCATGAAAACAATTTTCATTTAATTCCAAGACTATTCAGGGAAAGACAGTAATATACACGAGAGCTCACTATTGCTAATTAAAATTAACACATTTAAAAACATGCATAAAACAGCATTTGTATGACAGTGATAAATAGCTAGTTACATTACAAAACACCCACGTGCTGTCATATACTACTACTCACAATTCCCAGGGCAATTTTTTCTCATAACAAGTAGATGTACAATGTCATCATATATTCCGCATGCCTCAGTAAATGTATTTATATTTACTATCTTAATCTCCACAATTCTGTAAAATGGGTCTTTTGTCACTGGAAATTTATAGTTACAGAAGTTTTGGCTCAAAAAGGCTAAGTTCAAGTTCAAAGTTACACAAGAAAGTGAGCTGCATTGAATTCTGACCTCTGCGTTTTAACAGCTGGCCATAGACTTTTCACCAGCATCTGTGTTACCACCATACAACACAGAGCATATCACTGTGTACCAGCAGGTGAAGAAACCTCTCCATGAACACATCAGCATAGCAAAGTAAGTGTCAGCATCAAAAATAGAGGGAAATTTATCTAAATGAGTGTCAGGTTTTACACATAATTGATACTTAATTACTTCTAATATACTAACTTCTATTTATTTTCTTTAAAAACTTATTTTTTTATATTTTATATGTTACATCAAAAATCAAAACCACGTTTATATCTTAATATGTCATGTTATGTTTCTGTACATATATCCATTGTATAATATTTAAATCAAGTTTAATACATTTATCTCCTCAAATATTTACTCATTCTTTATGATGATACCTTTCAAATTCTTTTTCTGGCTTTTGGAATGAACTAAATATTATTGTATCTATAATCATCCTTCTGTTCAGTAGTGATGCATAAACTCTTGCTGCTATCCCACTGTGATTCAGCACCCATTGATTAACATTCCTCTGTTCCTTTCCCTCACCTAAAAATCTCCCTAGCTCTTGTCACCACTGTTCTATTTTTAGCTTGTATGAGCTCAACTTAATAAGAACTATGTTTAGTGTTATAAATGAAGAGGCTATAATGATATTTCCTTCTTGTTAAAACACAGAGGATATTATCAATTTCTACAAACAGTAATACCAACCCCATAGTACTGCATATTTAAGTTAGGAAGAAAAACAACATTGTCCCTGTCTCCTAACTTTCAAATTTTAATTTATTTTTCCCTCCAAATTCTTCATTGATCTATTTCTAGTTTTCTTTGAGAAAACCTCAGGCTGATTTCTAAAGCATCTGTGACAAATTATAATCCCACCAATAGTGTGTCATCACGTTCCTTTCCCAATATCTATGGGAGCATTGGTTGTCAATTGTACTCTCAATGGTGACAGTCCTGTCTGGTGTTTTAGCTCAACATAAAAACCATCAAAACATGGGAATGCTTGGGTATATGCCCAGGAGTGGTATAGCTGGATCTTGGGGGAGATTGATTCCCAATTTTCTAAGAAAGCGCCATATTGATTTCCAAAGTGGTTGTACAAGCTTGCATTCCCACCA